ATTTTAACTCTCAATCTTACTTCTATTACTATACAATAACATATTGATGCTTTAAGGTGGGACTATTACAAGGATGGGAACAAGCTCATCAAAGCTATGAAACCAATGGTTGCTTATGAAAGAGGACTTACCACATGGTCTAAATGGGTTGAGATGAATCTTGATCCATCCAAAACCAAAGTCATTTTCCGCACCCTCTCACCGAGGTTTTTCCTTATGTTCTCTTGCCAATCTCATCATGATAGATACAAAACGCACACCATTAATTACACGAAGGCTAGGCGAAGATAATCATGTACATATATTGTTGTCTTGGCAGAGAGAGTGGTGAAAAATGCTACAACCAGAGACATCCCTTGCCTTCTTTTGCTTCTTCTTCAAACAAACTGCACGTTCCTCAACAGTCAAGAGTGTTGAACAAAGTGCTAAGGAGGATGAAATATCGAGTGTACTTGCACGATATCACGACAATGTCGGCGTATAGGAGAGACGGGCATCCTTCGGTGTTCAAGAGAGCAATGCGCGAGGAAGAGAAGCACCATATATCCGGACCTTCATCGGATTGCAGTCATTGGTGCTTGCCTGGTGTCCCGGATATTTGGAATGAGATGCTTTCTTCAATTATCTTAACCAAAGTTGTATCATGAGTCTGTGTTATTCATGGTGCTACTACATGTATGATGAGCTATGGAGTCTGTGTTTTTGGAGAATTAGTGGTTTTTATCCATGACAGTGACAAAACAAGGCCTCTATATGTGATGATAATGAGTGCTTTAACTTGGCATATATAGCCAAGGATCATGATATAGTATTATTCTCTTTGCGTTATTATCGAGCCTTCTAAATTTTATGCACCAATATGCAATCCGGATAAACTGATTCGAACCGAACCGAATAAAGTCCGATCTTATCTTAAACCGAAATTTCGAAAAACTATAGACGTATTTGATTAAAATCCGAATCTAAACCGAAATTACACCAAACTAATTATCTTATATAATATTTTAAAGTTTTTCAAAACCAAGCTACGAGAGGCTGCCATTTGGCAATTACAATTTTTTTTCTTTAATTCATTTATTGAAAAAAAGAAAATTAAATATCTTTTAGTTACTTTAACAATTAATTCTAACATAATAGCTAATTTTATGTAAATTAATTCAAATCAATTACAATTAAGTGTTTTGTGTATATTTATATAATTCTTATGTGAATTACTATATTTTATTCTAAATTTAGTATAGAAAATATATATTTTATTTATCAAATGCAACAATATTCTATACAATTTTTTTTTACTTTTATATAGAAAACTGTTAGCAATTAAAAAATCACAAAATAAAAGCAATAGTAAAAAAATTGAAAATAAATGATGTGAAAAAATTAAAGAAAGAATTTAGGATTTTTAGTGATGCTAAATCCAACAAGTTTGATAGGAGAAATTTAGAATTTGAACATTTTTTAAATGATTTCATAATTTTTGAAAAATCGTAGTGAATATTGATTGAGACATACATGTTAAGNGTTTGTGTCAAATAAAATGTTTCCCATATGCTGTAATTTTTATTAATGAATGGTCTATTTTTTATATATATAACATAGTAATTTGCTTTAAAGATTTAGTCTTCTAATTTAGATAATTGTTTACTATAACTCCAAAAATTACA